GCAGGCTGGGCACTCTCCAATTTTGGATAGTGCACTTGGAAGGTCGTTTCTGACGGCTATCCGTGTTCGTTTCCAGGTTCTTTTTTGGATAGTTAGTGCAGCAGTGAAAAACTCTCCGATTTCGGAGAGTGGAGAGTAGTGCAGCGAGACCCTATTTGTAGACCTTTCCTTTTTTTCAGAAGAACTACGCTATATCCTTCTCTCGATTCTTTTTCACCTCACACTGGCTACCTACATACGGCACTCTATCTACCCATATATCTGAGCCAGGATATCCAAGGGTATGCCACCTCTACTCTATGCTGGAAAAAGTACATCTCTACACTACTTTATGCGGGGTGTAGCACCTAAGCTCCTAACCCGGGGCAAGGGATGGTAAGGGCAAGGGCCAAGGGTAGAACCTGCGCTCTTACCAGTCAACTATCTCAGCTGGTAAATACCAAGCCCGCTGCAGAGGAGGCCGTGGGGAATTGAACTCACAACCTCCTGAATACCAGTTGCATGCTCAACCAACTGAGCTAGGCCACTGGCCCTGTAGACTTTTCCTTTTGTTTTTCAGGATTTGTTTTTTTGTTTTTTAAGGCGGGAAACCGTGTCGAGCATCCCTTATGTTGAAGTGCGTCAGAACAACAGCCAGATTGTCTGACCTGCAAGAGGGGTCGATCATTCACACCGTGAGAGCACTCTTTCTTATGCTTCTGATCAAAATTGAAATTGTCAATGTTTGCACCCGAAATGGTGCTGGTTGAATGGTATTTTTATTTGTAGGACCTCTCATGTCAAAATACTCTGCATTAATAGCCAGATTGTCTGTCCTGTGAGGGCATTGGTCAGTTTATGGGAGCATTCTTTCTCATGCTAGGACCACTTGCGCTGCAGTGCCGACATCCTTAGGACCCCTTGATGGTGCGTTGCTGACCTCCTACAAGCTCTTGACATTGCAGTGCCGACCTCCTATGACCCTTGACGCGGCAGTGCCAACATCCTAGAACCCCTTGACTGCTCAGTAGTGACATCCCAGGACTTCTCGACGTTGCAGTGCTGACGTACTGAGATTGCAGGTTCCTTGCACTCCCACCGGCTTGGTTTCAAGGTCCACCATTGGAACTTGTTACTCATTGCCTACAATCCTGATCCCTTTCAGCTTTGTGTCATGCAGTCGGTGTCTTGGGGCCCTTGGGGCAATTTCTGTCAGCTCTCTCTCAGAGAACCACCACCTTTTTTTGAAGAGAGGGGGGGGGGGGGGGGTGAAACAGGTCCTTATGATCCTGGGTTCTTGTGCAGTTCGTTTGGGATGGCCCTATGCGGACCCATTGAGAATCTTGGTGTACTCATATAACTGACAGTATCGCTGTGCTCCCGAGCCTGACAAGAATCTTGATGGAGGCAACTTGACAGTCAACCCTCCACCCAGTGGAGTAATCAATGCTGGCCAGGGGTCCTTCGGCCAAACAGAAGGAAGCATTATGTGGTTTACAACTTTACACATTGTATCTTTTCTGACTTGCCGGTGGAATAGGAACCAGTTGCTTAAACCACCAGTACCTTCAGAAGCACTCCTCCAAACCTTTTCTTTTGCAACCCACCGAACCTCTTTGTGTCGTGTTCATGCAGCTGATGAAAAGGAAAGATACAGTCCGAGACCGGTCCTTCAATGCACAGGACCGGTACTCCCAACCTGGAATGTTTTTTTTTCTTTTTTTTTTTTTGCTCTCTTTTGCTCTCCCCTATGCACGGCCGCTACTACAAGAAGGGGCTTCACTCAACCACTCACCACCTGCACAGAAGGCGACAATTACGGCACCGAAGATTCGTTTGTCTTCAGGACCATGACCTACGCCACCACAGGCAAAATGATGGCAGCTCATCTTTCCATGTTCTTGTGGAAGGTTCACTCACGTTTTGCACTTGTGGTGAGTGGTACGGGGAGGCCATTTCTCTATTCATGTGTATCGTCGTTCCTAAGGGCTGTGTGCTAAGATTCTCCGTTTGGGGTCGTCTACGAGAACGATATTCATTCCCTTTTTTTTTGGGGATAGTAGGGGGCTCTCTCCAGTACTCTCTGCATGCAAAAAGGACAAAAAATACAGCGGTGTATCTTTCCATGTTCCAGGGAAAGATTCATTTTCATTTTTCTCATTTCATCAGTAGTGGGGCGAGACCCCAAGGCAGTGAGCCTAGCAGCCTCACTGCTGCAGACATGCACAAAAGACAAAACATATCCTGCTGGATCTTTTTTTTTTTTTTTTTTTTTTTTTCCTCGATTTTGGACCATTTCTCTATTTTGGACCATTTCTTTATTTATGCATGTCATCGTATCCTTGCTCAGGGCCATGCTACTCTTCTCTGTATCGGGCCATCTTTCAGCGCCACATTCATTCCGTGTTTTTTTTTCGTTTTTGATAGGCAGGCAGTGACGAGCAGCCTCGCTGCTGCAGACGTGCACAAAAGACAATGTGTCCAGCTGGATCTGTTTTTTTTTTTTTCTCTTTCCGAAGTTGGACCATTTCTTGATCTTTGCATGTCATCCTATCGTTTCTCAGGGTCATGCTAATCTTCCCTGTATCCGGACATCTTCCATTTTTTTGTTTGAATAGTAATGGCAGAGACGAGCAGCCTCGTCACTGCAGGGCCCAGTTCCAAACTTCAAGCTGCCATCCGTGCCTTTCTGAACGGCTGTTTGTTTTCTTTTTTCTCTCGCTTCCCTTTTTTTTTTTTTTTCTTTTGCCGTTTCTGTTTTTTTTCTTGCTGTGCTGGTCGCTCGAGCGAACACCAGTGCCAGTCCGGGGCTCTACCGAGCCTCCACCAGGCTTGCCCAGCTCGTCCATGAATTCAGGAGATTTTCTTGCCTGGGCGGGATACTGGTGGTTTAGAGAACCACCTATCATCGTATGGTTCCTGAAGCTGAGATCATACTTTGTGCTGCCTCTGAGATCGTCCTCTGCCACCTGTACTGAAAGAACCATGTTCCCGAATGCTGTCGATGTCATATTAGCCATCCATATCGGGTAGTATATTGATCTGCGTGAGGGAACTCCATACCAGTGACATGTGGTAACAGCTTAGAAGTTAGAAGCCTGAAATACGGGATATGTCCGGAGATGAGGTGTTACCATCGATAGCGCGTGAAGGACCATCTTCAACACCAACTTTGTCTAGGACTTCCTGCGGAACTAAGTACACTGGTAGCAGCTTTTGAGAAATTCCCTACTCAGCTGTAAGCTGTTTTAACTTGTCTGAGACGAAGTCGCCAACAAAGAACTGCAATGGTTGCCTATGCTTGTTGGCCTGTTTTACCATCACTTCCTGGGCATGTCTGATCTTCTCTGTTACCCTCTTGAGCGCCTGTTTCACATGAATACAGTCATAAAGGCTGTCTAAGATATTGGAATTAATGATGAATCCAAACTGCTTTCCAGTCACCATTATGGTGATGGAACTGAAAAGAAGGGGAGGAAAAGAACACAGAGGGAAAGGAGGGGAGGGGAGGGAGGAGTACTAGAGTAGTAATAGTAATGTGGGAGGGAATGGTCGCATGGAGTGGAAACAACAGGAAGTGAAGAGGCCCAGAAGGGAAAATTTTGGAATATAGAGCAGCGATAGGATCCGAGGGCTGGGGGCTAAAGGGGTCAGCCTGAGTATTTGGGAGAATCCCAGGGGAATGCACAAAGATATAAAAAAGGAGGGGGACGAAACTGAAGGGTTAGAATGAATGTTTGAAAAACCAGGATCCGCAGAACATAAATCTCTAAACCCCCCAATGGCCAACAGTTGTAAAGTACTAAATGAGATTCGAGTAGGACCACCCAACTTTTATCCCTAAATTGTAGGGAAACTCCTCTTACGATAACATCCACCCACCTAGCAGCGTCCATCATCCAGATGAAGGTCAGGTCCTCCTCAGGTCTTCTGGCCTTCGTGCAGGTAGTGGCACTCGAAAGGCGATGAGACGTGTAGTCTGCCATAGCCGCGGTGAACTGCAATTCCAGTTCCCCTTAGAATTATGCCCAAAGTCCCCAGCTTGACGTCAGCATCTTAAGGAACTCTGATCCAGGTCCTCTCCTCCTCCTTCACCATCACCACCCGTCTCTGCCATAGCGTATTCTGATCCTGGAAGCCACCATAGCCATGGAAACCATACCTCCTGTCTCATTTCACCTCGCTGCTCCTCTGCAAGAATTGAACCAACGGGCAGCAAAGAGCCCATTGGCTCAAGTGACGAGGGGCCCGGGAACTGCTGCTGCCTCTCATTTTCTTTCACAGCTCTGCTAAATACTTGCTAGCTACCTTGGCTGTCTGCTAACTTCCCCTGATCAGATGTATATGCTGTTAAATAGGGCTAGGCGCTTTCCGCATAGGTCTAGGTACTTCCAGGACCATTTTTCTTAAGTGTACCGGACATCAGGGCCTACCAGACTGGTGGAAAATCCACCCAGTCTGAGTGACTCATGTATCCTTGTCTGACTGAAATTTGTCTAACTGTCCTCCTACTGACTTTATTTTGCTCCTGTCCCTCTGTAACCCCAAATTTGCAGATAAAGCATGCCGAAGGGGTGGAGCATCACAGTGACAGACAGGTTAGTACTTCGGTGACCCGATTAGCCATTATACGCAGTAAAAAGCAGGGCCTTTCCACACACATGGTCCCAACCATAGCAATGATCAGAAATATCAGTTGGTGCTTAGCACAGACACTATATCTTTAGGCAAACACAAACTTTCTCAGACTGGAATCTGCAATGGTCGTTGCAGACACACACACGTGTGTCTGTCTCTTATACACATCTAGATGTGTATAAGAGACAGCCCCTTGACTGCTCAGTAGTGACATCCCAGGACT